AATGAAATCTGCATGGGTTTTGGTTTGGATTTTTTTATGGTTTGTTTGTTTGTTTTGCCACAGAGATTGAATCATCTTCAGCAGAAAGACTGAACAGTGGCACCTGCAACAGCTCATAAACACTATGGCCTGCAGATTTTCAGAGAACAGAATTTTGGCATCTTGAAATTGTGATACATCTTTCAAAGAAAGGTCACCGTGGCTAAAGCGGAGTGAACTATTATCACACTTGTGGTGAAAAAATGCAGATTTGGTGGTACGATTTTTTTTTATTTTATCTCTTTTGACAAGTTGTGTTCTGAAAAAGGAAACAAGTGGAAATGATCCTTGTCTGGTATTATAAAATGACTCAACGCACAATTACCTTCTTTCTTTCTTTTTTTTTTTTTTTTTTTTTTTTTTTTTTTTTTTTTTTTTTTTTTTTTTTTTTTTTTTTTTTTTTTTTTTTTTTTTTTTTTTTTTTTTTTTTTTTTTTTTTTTTTATTTTTTTTTTATTTTTTTCTCTTTTTTTTGAAATAAAGTAAATGTATCTCTGTTCAAAATAAGAAATGCAAGTTCTCATGTTGAACGATAATTTTTGTTCAGCCATGCAATAAAATGTTGCTAAAATAGCTTAAATGCTATCCAGACAATTAATTTTTTAAAAAATGGTAGTTTGGAGATGTTGCCTTGCTCCCCCAGCTGTATTTTCCAAGCTAATACTACAGGCAAATATGTTTTTTAAAGATCCTTTGGTGTGTTGGTAGGAACCTTTTCTGCCCACACCATGCTGGGACCTGTTCCATAGACCTCTGCTGTGCTGGTGGGGGCTGCCCACCCACTCCCACCCTCTCAGGGTGGGAAGTCGCGGGGCGAGGGAGTCCCTTTTCCCCTGGAGCCCTGTGTGTCCCACCGTCAGGGCCCGCAGTGGCCAACCCAGCACTGGTAGGCAGTCGCAGGCCGTGCCTTCACCGGGGTCGGTGATAGGCGTGTCACCGCAGCCGGCTGCGGCCGGGCTAGTCCTGAGCCTGCGGAGCGCCCGCGGGGCTCCAGCAATCCCACATTTCCACGCCTCCGGGACCCGGGGGAAGGGCTTCTCGTGGGGCACCCACAGCTTGCTCTTCCCTGCTCCATCTGGTGGTGAACGAGGGTAACGTCGTGACGTGCTGAGGAAGGGAGGACGTGGGGGTGAGGAGGGCTGAAGCTCAAGGCGTGGATGCTCAGAAGCCTCAAAGAAAGAAAAGAAGAATTCAAGTATCAAGAAAGATGGCTTGAGCCTGGTGAGGTCTCTGCTGGAACCCAGGATCCAAAGAGATGTTGTGGTAGTTTTTTTTTTTTCCTTGGGTCTTTTTTTGGGGTGTTAAAGCATCTGTGTCGTTCTTGGAGCAAGAGATCTTCAGCCTCTGCACAGCTCCTGTTCCTGGCTGAGCAACCACCAGGGAGCCTCTCTGGGGTACCCTGGTACTGCTTTTTCTCCTGTCAGATGGGTGATTACATTGCCTACTCTCTGCGCAATGCCCAGAGCTCGCTCTCTCTGGCTCTGCTTGTCCAGGCCCACCAGAGACCAGCGCAGTGAGCTCTACAGAGGCTGGTTGCTACCGCAGAGGCACATTGCTAAAATTCCCTAGTTAACCTCTAGCTGTGACAGTGTGGTTAAGGCCAACAGTGATGTAAACAATAGCAATAACAATGCCACGGAGAGCCCTAATGCAATGTTCACCTTCTCCGGTAGCTCACATACCTGTAGACATAGGGAATAGTCAGAAGTGGGGCAGGGGTAAGAAATGGGGATGTCCTGCCCAAAACTATCCCCTGCCTTGCCCTTGCTGGTGGTTGTGATGCTTCCCCCGGGGTCCCTGACTTGCCCTCCTTGTTGGTCTGAAGGGCCACCTCTGCAGCATTTGTTGTATACTTGGTGAACAGGCTCACCTCACATTTGTGCTGACATCTTTGAAAAATGACTTTGATTCTCTCAATATACTGTTTCAGTGATTCATTCTTTATGTGCATTTACTCAGCGGATGTGAGTGGCAAAATAAGATTGATGCTAAATTTATATGTTAATTTTAATATTGAAGCTATCCTGTATTTGAAGAATAAGATCAATTCTACAATTTCATTTCTTATGTGATATTGTATATTGTCATTACTGGAAAATAAAATTATTTCTGAATGCATACTATCTAAACTTCAATTTTAGTGGACATATAACTCTGAAGCATCATTCTTCTCCCTTTCCTTTAATAAATATCTTAATACAGTATTTTAACATTCTCACATTAGTCTGCCACGGGAAGATAACAAAGACAAGTCTTTTCACCCTAAATAGCGTTTTGTTAATGTGCTCCCTGCAGCATTCTGCACTGTCACAGGCAGATTTCATGCATGACTCAGCAACTCCCTGCAGGCTGTTGCATGACTGCTGCAATAGGAATCTTTGTTAATAATTGTATCCCTCACTAGAGATTAATTTCAATAATTTCCACGATAGCAGCTGTGTTTGAGAGCCATCACCACAGCTAGTTGCCCAGCCTGCCTGCATATAGGCTGAATCCTGACCTTAAGTGAAGGATCAAACCCTCAGATCACTATCAGGAACCAGATCATGCAGAGGATGGAATCATAAGTACAGAAAGATTTGGCATTTATGGAGTGAGATGTACTTTAAGGAGGTCTGCTGTCAGAGACCAGGCTTTCCTGAAACTGCAACAGAAAAAAAAGTATTTACAGCACCTTGGGATTGTGGTTTGGTACTTTATGTCTTTGCAAGCTGTGCAGGAGATTAAACTGAGATAGATAGCAGGAGCCTTTGCAAGATTACATCCTTGCTCTGCCCTCTAACCCAAGGAAGATTTTTCCCTGTCCTTAAGGGATAAACGTAAGTGCTACAAGGATTTAGTTGTTTTTAACTGAAAATTCTTTAAAAGCTTAAGTACCCTGTAAATAGGAGAGAAGAACATAGTATTTACCAGAGTAGTAGAGATTTTGTTTCTAATTTTTCCACTCCAAGAGGGAGGCTATAGCTTTTCAATGGCTGAACTGTGACTGTCTTCAGGAATAGAGTTCCCCTGAAAATCTCAGGTTAATCCTGAGATAACCCTGAGCAAGCCACTGTCACAAAAACAAAATTGTGAGACCTAAGGCAAACACTGCTTAGGTTCTTCCCACCTGTCATATTTCTGAGTATATAGACTTCATACATTCCAACTTTCTTGTCTGCAACACCTAGACAAAACCAGAAATCTTGTGATGAAATTGTACTAATTAACCTTCTTTTCCCTAAAGACAGTAAATACATGAGTCAGCAAAAGGTTGAGGAACAGTGAGAAAGCAGAATTTCAGACACAATGAAGTCTATTTTTTCTTCCAAGTGTTGTGTGGCTCAGGCAGGGAGGTGTGCAGGCTCAGGAGCAGCTACTCTCTCTCCAAGGAAGCTGAGCACACCTGACATTTCTGCCAGCAGTATGCATCTCAGCTTGGGGGCAGCAGCCCCCTCAGGTGTGGGTATGTGTCACAAAAGAAAGGCAGTGTGAGAGTGAGCAGTGTGGCAGCAGCATGATGGTGAAAGCACTTGTGGTAGCTGATAGAAACTTTTCCTCTCTGTTGCACGCAGCGAACATCAAACCCACTTTTGGAAACATCTTTCTTTGGAGCATAGTCCCTCTGCTTTGCCTGCATGTTGCTGAGATGTCTTCTTGTCACAGTGAATATAAACCAGAAAGAGTGAGATAAAATTCACTGTATACAGAAAAATATAAAAGAGACATTGAAATACTCAGAAACACAGAGCGACATACTTCCTTGCTACTTGTCAAATGTAGATGGTTTTGTCATTTATAAGGGCTACATGACTGATGTGACAAGGGATGCAGAAGCAATTCTGATGGAGTATTGTACCTGAGGGAGTGCTGTAATAAAAATGTACGTTTCTCTTCCTCTGCCTCTGCATGTTAATCTCTTGCCTCACTGGCTAGGAACAGGAGAGTGCTCAAAGATGTTCACATTGCCCGGCTAGCAGCTTCCATGGTAACAGAAATCAGTGAGTTCTCACCTTGAGCCTGCCTTTTTCCTTAGCAAAATAAGGGCAATGCTTAATGTTTAGTACAGCTGCATATTATCCATATTGAAAAGCAACACTTTCTCAAGAGGAACGGCTCCTGAACTACAGATTATTCTGCATGGCTCCATACTTACTACAAAACCCTTTTCAGGAAACTTGAATACCCTTCATAGATTTAGCCCAACTCCCAGGCCAGCTATTACATTTTAGATTATATGGCTTAGTCCCTAGTACAGGTATGGTCAAATATGTGTAAATTATGAATTTTCTTCCTTGCTTTTTCTCCTGTAGTTGCTTTTTTCCCCCTAATAGTCTGCAGAGGTCTAAACAAAAGGAACATTTGGCCACATGCATTTTTCTTCTTTTACCTCTATTGCCAAATAGTTAATTACCAGGGACAAGGCGTTGTGGGGGAGAAGTTAATTTGGTTTGAATGTTTCCCCAAAATATAAATACAGTAAAGAATATGATAATATTTCCAAGGCTTCAGAGAAAGAGGGGATTAGTTCTGCTCACTCACACATTCTTCTCTTCTGCTATTCTCACCTCTGTTGGGCGAACACAATACAGGCATCAATCACTGCAGGCCTTGTGAACAAGTGGGATTTGGGATTGTTTTGCAGAACTTTGAAACACATAATCAGGGAGGGAGGAGGGAAGGGATAATTTCTGACCTTCAGTGGCTTCTTGGGAGTGGTGTTTTCCCATGCCTAAGCCTGAGCTATCAGAGTCTATGTCCACATTGCCATTGCCTTGAAAAGGGAACAATGTGATCTATACATTGTGAAAGGGGCTGGTCTCCCTGTCTGGCTGTGCTTGTGCCTCACTCCTCTTCCTGAAAGTTCACCACATGAGATTTTAACAGACTTGTGTGGTGTATATTTATGAAAAGCTATGATTAATTCCCAGGTGATTGGTATATTTTTTAACATATTAAAACTCAAACAAACACCCTGTCAAATTATTGTTTGACATTCATATATTTCCTCATTTGGCCATCACTGCTCTGTGTTGTTTTAACAGACTTTCACTTTTTCTGTTGTCCCATTGGGCTGGCAATAGGAGAAATAACTGTGGTGTTCCATGTGCAAGAGGTAATACAATCATCACCATCCTGCTCGTAGTGGTTCAGGTCTGGTTCCTCACCTTCTTCATAGCAGTGAAGTGTTTTTACACACTTTGAGGCCTGAAAATGCAAGCTAGTTACTGTGACCTGGTCTTAATTCACCTGGAGCTGATTAAAGTTAGAGCCTGAAAGTACTCCAATGGCTTTTTTTCTTTCAACAGCACCCCACTGATGCTCAAGAATTGGTGACTCTAGTCCTTCAGCCCAGGGCTCCCTCCTCCTCCTTAAATTGGAAAAGTACAAGTTCAGTTGAAAATGTGAACTGTGTGTACAAGATACTTGAGAGTTCCTTGGGAAATGGGTTATATTTTCCCCTTCCAAATGTCTGGAGTTGCAAGCATCTTTCAATGCATCCCTGAGCCGAGATTATAGGATACAGAGTGAGTTGCAAATGATTGTAACATATATTATTCGGACAGTGTAACATATGTTATTCAAACAATTACCTAAAGTAAACGCTCTCTTGCACAACATGACCTGGACATCAAAAGCACGGTGTGGTCTTTGCATAAAATAAGGCAGTCTGGCGGTGTTTCAGCCGAGTACTGGGTGGATTTATAAGGGCTAAGGAGCGAAATTTCATTTGGGACGGGGACAGGAGAGAACGCGACGCTGTGACCCCGGGCTCCTGTCCCCGTCCCAGCTCGGTCCCCCTGGCCGATGGCCCCACCTAGTGTCAGCGCGGTCACGGCGCTGAGCGCCGCTCGGGCTGGATCATGCGGTGGCCGAATGACGGTGGGGCTGCACTGCATAATAACAGGGAGGGATGGGTCTGTCCTTCCCTAATTCTGCGTGGCTCTGGCACCTCGGCCAGGGTTGCATTCGGGGTCTGCTTTGGGGGTCAGCTCAGTGCGGCGAGGAGCAGGAGGCAGGGCGGGTGTCGCCGGGACTTCTCCCTCGAACCTGTTTATGCAAACCTGAAGGTAGGAGGCAGGCACCACGGCAGGCACCAGCTCCTCCGCAGCCCCTGCCTTATCCCGGTCAGCACGGAGCTCCCGCGGCGTGGTGGAAGAGCCACCCTCGCCACAGCGAGGGTCTGTATGTCTTGCATGCATATGCATGCACACAGACACACAGCTTCTCTTTGAACTCCTTTCTCACAAAAAGATGAAGATGACAAACGTGTTTTGCTTATCCTGTCTGGCTGTGGAAGTGGGCCCAACAAAATGAAGGAGGAATACTTGAGGAAGCCTGCCGTGGTTTAACTCCAGTTAGACACTAAGTAGCATATAGCCACTCACTCAACCCCAGCCCCCCCTGAGAGGGGAAAAAAAGTGAACCTTGAGGGTTGAGATAAGAACAGTTCAAAAATTCAAACCAAATAAAATATTATATTAGCACTATTAAAAAATAATGATAGTAATGACAATAATAATATTTGAAATAAAAAAAAAGAGAAAAGAAAGAATGAGAAAGAAAGAAAGAAAAAGAAAGAAAAAGAAAGAAAAAGAAAGAAAAAGAAAGAAAAAGAAAGAAAAAAAGGAAGAAAAAGAAAGAAAAAGAAAGAAAAAAAGGAAGAAAAAGAAAGAAAAAGAAAGAAAAAGAAAGAAAAAGAAAGAAAAAGAAAGAAAAAGAAAGAAAAAGAAAGAAAAAGAAAGAAAAAGAAAGAAAATGAAAGAAAAAAGAGAAAAAGATAGAAAAAGAAAGAAAAAGAAAGAAAGAGGAATAAAAACTAGCTGAGTTGGTTAGAGAATGGTGCTAGCAATATCAAGGTCATGGGTTTGGTCTCGTTATGGATGACTCACTTAAGAGCAGACCTTGATAATATCTATGGGTCTCTTCTAACTCAGAATATTCTGTGATTCTGTGAAACCCAAGAGGAAAAATTGATGCACGATACAATTGCTCACCACCCACTGACCAATACTCAATACTGTTCTGCCAGCAGTGGCTGGGCCCTCCCGGACAGCTACCCCCAGTTTATATACTGAGTATGAAGTTGTTCTATTTATGGAATATCCCTTTGGCCAGTTCAGGCCACCTGTCCCTGATATGCTCCCTCCCATATTCTTTTGTACCTTCTTTCTGGTGGATCATGGGAACCTGAAAAGTCTTTGACTTAAGAACTACTGAGCAATAACTAAAACATCAGCATGTTATAATTATTCTTCTACTAAATCCAAAACATAGCACCATACCAGCTACTGAAAAGCAAATTAACTCTAGCCCAGCTGAAATTTGGACAAATCTATATGACAAAACTTTGGCTCATCTAGTGTATTAGTGTTTCAAGACACTTGATACTGCCTTTCTCCCTTATCATTAAAGAAACTTATTCTTTTCCTCAGTATGTAATCAAATTTTGATTTTTTTTATTGCTACTATGCAGCTGAATGATAACAATGGAGTAAAGTTAACTAGTGTCTGATCAGTCCAGAAATGTCTAGCAATGTCAGTATATATGTGGGTAATGTCTATGTCTGAGGTCCTCTGTGCTGGACCATAAGTTGCTAGCTGCTTTTTGATACGAAGATGTAGGCCTTTTCCCAGTTACCTCTGTCTTGGACATTCCAAGCCCCTTTTTTTGCTACTTGTTGTCTTCAGCTCTCTTGGTTATAGCCCATACTAGAATTATTCAGTGTGCTCCATCAGAGGATGAAATGTAAGTCTGCCTAGAAAGTAAGACTAATGCCATCACATTTGTATCACATTCTACAATGACAAACATAGCCAAAAAAAAAATGTGATAATGGCTGTGGTAAGACCAAGTGTATCTACTGGAATTAAGATGTTCCTAGACTATCTTTTTTGTCATGACAAACAGTCCGTTATGTCTTATCTGTGAAGTAGTCCTCTTGCTAGGCTTGAATTTAGTTCTCTCTACCTTGAAAATATCCCAACTGCCCTGCTATTTGGAACATGCTAATGTATCAATTTTGAATTGAGGAATAGGTAACATGGGTTGGATTGGCTGGTGGGGATGTTTTCTGGTTTGTGAAACACTGCTTTTTCTGTTTTCTTTGCTATGTATAATCAAGGTACCTGCTTAAAAAAGCCATACTTCCTACTTGCTGTTTCTGATAGCACAGCTGAATAAATATGAAACAATAAGTCATGCCCTCTGTCTAAATCAATGTTTAGAAATATGTAAGTATTAATACAAGTTTTAGAAATCCAGTTTAGGCACTGCTCCTCCTGATTGTGGACTTTTGATGCTGGGTGTACTTGGGCTTAAATATCATGCCAAATGTCTTAGGTGCACAGGAGCAAATGCAATCATGTTATCCACACATGTTAGAATACAATTAGGACTATGAGCTTTGGCATATCTAGTACATTCCACAAGTGCTGGTACAATGAGCCAGCAGGGGACTGAGAAATTCCAAGTGGAAGACAAGTAGTTACAGATCTGGACTAAAGCTGTCAGCAGAGAAACAGCTTGGACTCTCTGTCATCCTTTCCCCTTCACAAATTGTAGTATCTAGTGAAGTAGAATGGAAATAAAACGTGTGGTGTTCAGTTATAGTGAGTTCAGAGGAGGCCACCAAGATGATTAGAGGAGTGGAGCACCTCTCGTATGAGGAAAGGCTGAGACTATTGGTTTTGTTCAGCCTGGAGGAAAGAATGCTTCAGGGTGACCTAACTGAGACCTTCTAGTGCCTGAGCCTGAAGAAAAGAGGGAGAGGAACTTTTTACAAGAGCATTTAGTGGCAGGACAAGGGGGAATGGCTTCAGACTGAAAAAGAGTAGGTTTAGATTAGATATTAAGAAAAAATTCTTTACTGTGAAGGTGTTGAGGCACTGGAACAGGTTGCCCAGAGAAGCTGGGGGTGCCTCATCCCTGGAGGTGTTCAAGACCAGATCAGATGGGGCTTTGAGCAAGCTGGAATAGTGGAAGGTGTTCCTGTGCATGGCGGAGGAGTTGGAACTAGATAATCTTTGAGGTCCCCTTCCAAACCAACCCATTCTATGATTCTATGATTCTATGATTCTATGATTCTATATACTGTACTCTTAAACATCTCTGTGTCTGGAGTAAGAGTAGGAATTGGCCTGTCAGGAGGCAGGAAGCTGTGGAGACTGCAGGTCACCAACGTTTCTTGTACATCTCTCTCCAGCTAAGCTCTACTCAATCGACACAGGAATTTCCCATCACCACTACTCTTCTGCTGATTCCTATTTTAGCTCTAGATACTGGGAAAAAAAGATTCAGTGACTTCGGTGACCTTCCTGAAATATGGGAAGAATACATCTTGGGACATTTTCTCTGCATTCAAGTAGTTATCATGCACTTTAACAAATCATTAGTGTTGGCAGAGATTGCACTAACGTATTATACTTTTCATGTAATTTGCTCTCACTCTTGTGCTTTATGCTCAGGAAATAAGCAGTACAGGACACTCATGATGGTCTGCTCTGGCCTTGCTGCCATATTCCAGGGCCTTTGTGACACTTTGTGTCAGGCCACAAGTGTTCCATATGAAAGTTTCTGTGGAGAAGACGGTTGCCTGTCTCCAAAATGCAAGATTTTGAAAGGCAGTTAGTTGCGTAAGTGGATTAATTTTCTAAACTCATATTTGCTTATTTCTCAGTAGATCCAACCAGTGCTCTTTTTGTACAGAGCTGCCTTGGTCTGGTTTGTTTGAGTTTGAATAGGATCTTCATTTTACCTGATGATTGCTTTTCTTTGTTTGCCTCATTCTGAGGTCTTTGGCTGATCCAGAGGCCTATCAAAGGTATATTTAATAAAACAGCACTGCATTACATTGAAGTGACTTCAGCATGTAACACTTTTCAGCAGTGCACATAAAATGAAGACTAAACCAAGGACAGTTAAAGCCTTGGATGTGGCCTCAAGTGAATTTCCTTTTGGACTTTAGTGCTGAGTGTGATGTTTTCTGATTTTCCCATTAACAATAACATTTTCTGGAACACATCCTTTTCTCATTCAGTAGTGGTATTGCGCTAGCGTACAACATGAAGTGAAGTTTATGTTACCCAAACTCATTCCTCGAGATGAGTGGCAGCAGGTTAATATTGTTGTAGGGATTTTCTGGAGAACTCTGGTGTAGATTGTTTCACTGCAAGAGGCTCTTCTCAAAATTTTCCTTCGTGCTGTCTAAAGTATCTATGTTCACACAAAATAAATCTCCTCACCTGCAAGTAAAATACTTTCTTCATAAAATGTGGCCTGTTCTCAATCTGTCTTTCCTGTGCCCAGATTTCTGTTTCTTGTGGCTTCCCTGTAGTAAAGCTGCTGCTTTGTTATTCTCAAGGTACCTCAAAAGGAGAGTGCTGTGTTTATGACTGAGCATGGTTTGCACTGGTAGAAGTTCTGATTTTTTGTCATGAGCAACTGAAAATAAAACTCTGGAAAATGTAATAAACAGATGTTTTGCTTGCCACAGGACTTCCCAAGTTCTGCAGTATTTATATCCCAGAACTATCCCTTTCTTCATATGGTCAAGGCTCTTGTTTTATTAGAGATGTGCCAAGCCATAAAGACCATTTCAGCCTCTTTAGCTGTGTCTGTTACCTTTATATGTGAGAAACAGGAAATGACTACAGAGCACAGCATCCTGCAAAGGATTATGATTGGGCTTGCCTGCTTGTGTTTTGGCATTGCTTGGAAGCTGCTGTAAAGTTTTAGGGTTGGAGTGTGCAAGGTTCAATACAGAATGCAAGTTATTAAGATTGCACTCCTAATATTAA